GACGTTAGGATGACAATGCTGCGGGTTAGGCCTGTCATTCGCGTCGGCCACTGCTCAGCCACTCCCAGAGCTGGCTGCTGATTGACGTGTCTCTATATCCTTAAAGCTCCAAAAATGACCTGAGCCAACTCCGTTCTCCCCGAGTCGATTTTCACTCATGCTGACCTCACAGGGCAGTCGAACGGAACCATCGGTTTCCACGGCTGTAAATCTCCATGGAAGCGCACTGCCCCACCTTTCTCCCACGCAGTGGGGCCTGGTTCCGAGCTAGAGCCTTCCTGGAAGCACGAGCACTTGCTCAGTTCACTACCATGGCTCCTTCGAAAATCACACAGAACAGAAAAGCACTGGCTTTCTGGTAAGGAAGTAAGTGTTTCTACAGTAAGCAAGGAAATTAAGAAAACATGTCTTAGACAGTAAAGTATGAGAAAGAATATCACGATGGTACTGCAGTGCATTGGCAGCCAGAGGATTATCAGAAGGTCTGGACCAGGCGTCTTCAAACTACGGTCCACGGGCCACATGCGGCCCGCTGAGGACATTTATCCGGCCCGCCGGGTGTCGTTGCCCGATTTGATTTTTTACTTCACAATAAGATATGTGCAGTGTGCATAGGAATTTGTTCATAGTTTCTTTTAAACTATAGTCCGGCCCTCCAATGGGTCTGAGGGACAGTGAACTGGCCCCCTGTTTACAAAGTCTGAGGACCCCTGCTCTGGACTAAAACCTAAGAGCAAAGGAGAGCTCCCTCTCATCTTACAAGTCGGGGAACGCATGTCTCCAGACTTCCCGCCGGGCTAATTTTGCCATCTCCTAATAAAAAAGTGGGTTAGGAGTGAGGCTGCTAACTGCAAGGTCACCGGTTAGAAACCACGAGCTGCCTGGTGGGACAAAGATGAGGCTTGCGACTCCTGAAGTGACAGTCTTGGAAATCACAGGGGCAGTGCTACCATGTGCTAAAGGGTGACTAGGCGTCAGCATACACTTGAGGGCAGCGCCCTTTACTCAGCACGTTTGGTTTGGTTTTAATAAAGTAAGCAACAGAAACCAGCTCTAGCGGTACAATTTTCTAAGTACTCAGCTGCTGCTAATTGACTCCAAGGTCAGCAGTTCAAAACAACTAGCCTCTCCTTAGAAAAAAGATGAGGCTTGCTACTCCTGGTAAGATTTACAATCTTGGAAGCTCGTTCCAAGGGCAGTTTGACTCTGTACTATAAAATTGCCACGAATCAACGTGACCGCGGTGAGTTTGGTTGTCATGTTGTTCAATAGTTAAGCGTTTGGTTGCTAGCCAAAAAGCTGGCAGTTCTAGGCCATCCAGTGGCTCCAAGGGATAAACACCCAACAATCGCCGCTTATAAAGATTACTGCCAAGAAAAACTTTTTGGGGTGGTGGTGGTGGGGGGTTCTGCTTTGTTGCATAGGGTCACTGTGAGTACAAAAATGACTTGAAGGCACCCAATGAGACTAACTGAATGGCTGATGGTTTGAACCCACCTGGAGTTCTCCCCAGAGATCACAGGCACTGAAGAGGCTATGGAGCACGGCTCTGCTCTGCACTCCTGGGGTCGCCGTGTGGTGGGATTTGGCACTGGGTTTGGTTCTCGCTTAGTGGGACCTCCTTGTGACATGATTAACGAGCTGGAACTGAACACTTCCCTACATCTGAGGGGAGTGGGAGCATGCAAGATCCACCAGAGAAACAGCAGGCACCAATCGTCTCGAAGATAGCCTGCCCCTCAGTAGCCTCTCCCAATCGACTTCTTCCCCATCCTCCCTCTCCATCCAAATACTCAAGTCAAAACTATGCAGAAGTCAGCCTGGGCTCTATCCTTTTGTTCAATGAAGCAGTATCTACCCCAAATCTAACCACCTCCACTGACACCCCCGTAGTTGAAGCCACTCACAACCCTTGAGAGAGAGTGAGACTCAATGACAAATTCAAATCCAATGACAAACCCACCCACTCACAGTCATGGACTCGATTCTGACTCATAGCAACGCAGGACAGATTAGAATGGCCCCAGTTGGATTTCTAAGACTGTCAATCTTCCCAGGAGCAGACAACCTTACTTTTCTCCCAGGGAGTAGCTGAGGGGCTCTAACTGCTGACCTTGTGGTTAGCAGTCGTGTATGTAACCGACTATGCATGCCACCAGGGCTCTTCTCAACGACAAAAGCCATGGTGCTAACACAGCTTTCCTCGAGTTCTTGAATGCTTCTTACTCCCCACTATCATGATCCCAAATCTACCTTACAAACCAGCTAGACCAGCGCATGTAAACTGGTACAGATAAGAGTTCACAACACAGAGAATCAGGGACACCAGGGGAAAGGGAAAGGTGGTGGGGGAGGGGGTAGAAAGGGTGAATCAATCACAAAAGATCTACATATAATTCCCTCTCGAGATGGACAAGAGAAAAGTGGGTGAAGGGAGACAGCGGTCAGTGTAAGACATGCAAAAAGTAATAATTTGGAAACATGACTATAAATTTATTTGCTTTCAAAAAATAATAACAATTTATAAATTATCAAGGTTTCTTGAGGGAGAAAGTATGGGGGTCGGAGAGAAATGAGCTGATACCAAGGGCTCAAGTAGAAAGAAAATGTTTTGAAAATGATGATGGCAACATATGTACAAATGTGCCTGACACAATGGGTGGATGTATGGGATTATGATAAGAGCTGTAAGAGCCCCCAACAAAATGATTGAAACAAAACAAAACAAAAAACTATGGTGATTACAACACTTGCCTTGAACTAGAAAGAAAAGGGAATCTGCCGGGGTTCAGGTAAGCACTAGGTTACTAACCGAAAGACTGGAGGTTCGAATCCACCCCAAGGCACTGCGGAAGAAAAGGCCTGGAGAGGTCCGTCATGGAAATGATGAGGGAGCACGATTCTCCCGGTCTTCTCCCTCTCCACGGTCGGAACTGAGTCAACTGCAAGACTGGCTTGCTTTTAGTCAAATGAAGGGGAGATGGGAAGCATAGCGGGACAGGGCCAGAAAGACAGGGCTTTAAGGAGCTGGGGGCATTGTGGAGGTAGGCACTGGGCTGCTGATAACTGCAAGGTGGGCAGTTCAAACCCATCAAACCCAGAGATGGGGATAAAGAAGAAGCTGTCCGTTCCTGGAGCGCAGCCCAGTGTCTAACGCCACAGTGGCAGGAGGTTTGGTTTTAGGGTTGAGGATTTGAACAAAGACCCCTTGCTAAGAGAGAAGAATTTGTAATTCTTGAAACGATCAAGCAACACTAGTAAATAAAGCACTAATGAATCCGACACATTTTAGCAAAGGCCACATAGCTGGTGGTGAAGGCGACACAAATGTACTGTTCTAGATGATCCCATCTGAGGATCAGAGGGTGATTTTGCTAAGATTCAGGACTGACCAGTTGATAAATCTGCCAAAGTCTGTCCTTCCTCATTGGTCCCCTCCATTACCACATCCCACTGCACGAACTCTTTTAAGCATGACCCAATAAAAAGAAATTTACTGACATCAACAGAGGACAGCAAACAAGAATGCACTCACTGCCATGAGTTGATGCCGACTTCTAGCGATCCCTTGTGGGTTTCCAAGACTGTAACTGCTTACAGGAGGAGAAAGCCGCCTTCCTCCCGAGGAGCTGCTGGCGATTTCGAACTGCCGATCATACAGGTTGCAGCCCAACGAGTAACCACTACATCCCAGGGCTCCTAAAGTAAATTTACACTTAGGAGCAAAGGTTATTTTGAAGGAGCTCCAAGTGAGCTAGACATGCAGACATCTTTCTGCTGACCAACAGGTAACCTGCTCTCTGATTTGCATGTGGGGCTGGGCCCCTATGGACGAACCAGGTGGGGTTAGTTGACTGTGTTAGGTCTCTCAGTAGGGAGCACTAGAGGGACTCTGGAGAGCGGGATGGGGAGTGAACAGTCCTCCTTCCTATTTCTGCTCCTCCTGTGGGCATCCCCAAGCAGTGGCTCTTGGCTCTGAGCTCCACTTTCACGCAGGGCAGCTAGAACTGGCTACATTAAGATTCCTCACAGATAGGAGAGGTCTTCAAAAAGTTTGTGGGAAAAGGAACTTAAAATACAGTGTAATTTTCCTGGGTATGTTTGGAAGCCCTGGGGAATGACCAGCAGTTTCACAGCAGCTCTCCTCGGAGGTCTGGGCATCAACTTGCACGCCTCTTCCCTGAGTCTGTAGCTGCTGCAGCTCAGCCCTGGTGGGGAGGACTTGCTTCCAAACTCCAGCGTTTTCTGTCACTTGCTCAGCCCTCCAACACTGTGAACCACATTTCTGGAGTCAGTCTGGGTTGAAACAGTTGTTTTTCTGATGAGGCCCCTTCCGTAAAGTGCTTTATTGTGGGTCATCCCACGGCTGGGCATTCTGTAAGCTCACTGTCATCTCTTGGTAGCTCAAATGCGAGCTTCAAATGCTGAACCCACTGTCACACGGGTGAAACGATTCTCTTCTATCCTCTCAAGGATGAGGCTCATCCTAAAGCCTTGGAACACTTCGATGGTTGATCACCTTTAAAAAGGCAATCCAAATAAACGTTTAACCACATGGTACATGCCAAGAGATGTAATGTGAACATGATCGAACAGCAGTGCATGCACACTTATGAACCTGAATGATCGTCCAGTATGAAAGAACACCAACAGACGTTTAACTTCCTAGGGATCTACTCAGTTCACAAGGGAGGGCAAATCATTTGTTAGCTTTAGCAGCACTGTCATGATGTTCAAATGATGAATGAAGGTAGAGCTGGCCACCAAATCTGTGAATGTTTTGGTTACATTGAGGAAATTTAAGCTTAGTGTTTCTCATAACTGAAGGTAACTGATGTTCTCAAATCAAGAGTGTTTAGTTGACATGAATAAATCATCAGCAACACACATAAAGTCCAATCAATGGATTCCAACAGTTGCTCTCTGTTGTCATTTATGCCAATTCCTTTAGTGTTGAGGTAGAAAGGAGATGAGAACAAACAAAACTGCACAAGCCTTACCATGATCTTGTCACTGTCGATGATGGTGTTCAGCCGGTGTGCGATGGTGAGCACCGTGCACTGGGCAAACTTCTCACGGATTGTTTTCTGTATTAACTCGTCAGTTCTGGAAGCAAACCAGAGCATCTAGCTCAGTGAAAATTCAAAAAGTAGATTTAAGTCTTAAAATATACATGTGGTCTTTTAATACTCAAAAGATAATGAGTGTATTGAGACATGACTGGATTTTCACACAAACGAAGAAAGTTTGCATGGAAATGTTGCTTATTTTTCTTAAGACACTGGAAATCGGTTTCCCCCATAAAAGCTTGAAACCCCGTGAAGTGAAAGGTAGGGGTCCAGTTCTCTAAGGACTAGTCTCTAAAGGTAGTACTTAGTTCTCTAAGGACTAATGATAGTGTCAATACTGAACCGTGTGCTTCGGGGTTTACTCTTGTTGTCTAGAATGGCTATGATCAAGAGAGATCTTTAGGAGCAGACAGAACACAGCAACATGTCTAAGCATCACTGACAACATTCACAATTCCAATTCACCGTGTCGGGGCCTCAGCCTTTACCTGGGATCCACATTGGCTGTAGCTTCATCAATAATCAATATCCGATTTTTCCTGAGAAGAGCCCGGGCTAGGCACACGAGTTGTCTTTGCCCAACGCTAAAGTTCGATCCGGATTCTGCTAATTCGGTATCCATTTTACCGGGAAGGTCTTCTATGGCTTCTTTAAGTTGTACCTATAGATGTAGAAATAAGAGTGGCAGTTTCCTAAACAAACAATCACTGAAATACAGACATGCCCGCAGACCTTAGAGCTTGGGGGTCTTTTCTTTTGGGAGATGTGTCTTATGGGTACATGACTCTGAGGACAACTCCCAATTCATGTCAACAGAGAGAGGCGGTGGGGTAGACTCAGGATAGAAATATTCTGACTGAAGAGACAAAGATTAACCCCTGAGCCTAAAGCCCTTGGACCCCTCAGGCCTGGAATGAGCTCAGTGCTATGGCTCAACTCTCAGCCCACTGAGAGCCATGCCCCTGGGATGAAGAGCAGCCACAGGTAGGTACATGCTCTCTACAACGATCAACCACAGGAGATCAAAAAGGAAGCATCTGTCCAGGGAGAAAGCACGGGAGGAAGGAAAGAAGGGACGGAGAAGCGTGACTAGACATGGGAAACACTGGGAGGGGAAGAGAGAGAGCGCTGTTGACATCGTGGGCTTGTAATCACGGTTACAACGCAAAATGCATGTGAAGTGTGGAATGGAAAACCAGTTTGCTCTGTAAACGTTCACTCGGATTACAGTAAGACACTTAAAGAGAGAAAGAATGTAGATAATGGGAAATCGGATGTCCCTTGATTGGTACCAGGAAGTACAAGTCTATCCACGCTGCCACACGTCACCCCACCTGTGCTGATGTAATGACAAAACACATCGTATCAGAAATAAGATTGTTCTTCAGGTAAAATGTAGAAAAGTTTAGTCTTCCATCTCAAATTTTACTCACAAAGCAACAATGGTTGCTGATATTGGCAGGGTTAACTGTGTGTGTGTGTGGGGGGGGAGGTCGGGGATGAAAAAGCTGTCAAGCTGTATCGTGGTGATGTTCGCACAATTCTACATTATTTACTAAAACCACCGGATTTTACACTCACAATGATACACTTTCTAATACCGAGGTTATACCTCAATAAAGCCAGCTTAAAAAAAAAGAGCGTAACTCATCACCCAAACCTCTTCTTGCCAGATGACACCCACCAAGCTGTCTGTCCCCACTCCTGGTGAGAGTTAAGAAGGTCTCTCAGTTAAGAAGACATTTCCTGCCAGCTCTGTGGAACAGTTAAGGCTCTCTGTGGTCGGGCTAAGGCGCAGTCCTCCTAGGAACCAGCACAGTAGAGGAAACATGAGAAAATACAGTAACCAGAGGAAGTGTGGTTCTCAAAAGATGATAATTTTGTGGGTTCGCTGCCTTTTTGGTAGGTTTCCATCAATGCTAAAAGTTTCAGAAATACAGATTCAAACCAGGGCAAACAGCATCTCATAGCAATAAGTTAGGAGGGTATTTGGAAATGGTTCTTTCCAGAGGTTAATCCATATTGCTGGCCAGTCAAGTATATTGACTTCAGTACTTTACTTCATAAATGCTTTGTGGTCACGGAAAACCAGGGCACAGCAAGCAAACCATCTTAACTCCCCCTAGCCCAAGCTAGGGGATAACTAATATTCATATTACTCTCTTTTCATAAAAATTTAGTTGTAAGCCAAAAAGAGAAACCTCTGACTGGCCAAAGTTGGTCTAAGACAAGGTTGGGTGGTGATTCAGTTCAATGACATTTGTTTGGGAGAAATTTCATAAAGGAAGAGTCCAAGTCAGGCTCCACTTGAAAGCTACAGAGGTTTGAAGAGTCCATGAACTTCAAACTGACATTATTCATCAATAGGTAAAGTGGCCATGGCCAATAAGCAGGCACACTGAATTAGAATATCAGTAACAACAACAACAGGTAAAGGGGCAATATTTCCACTGTGCTCCAGATGGTGAATAAATGTGAGATGGTTTGAATAAATGTGAGATCTTGAGTTGCGTTCCTGATGACGGAAGGCCAACAGTGAAAAACAGGAGTTCTGAGTCTGGATTAAATATGGTCCTGGTATGGAGCATTGGCACGAAAGGGGGAAGCTATACAAAATCCAATGTGTACGATCTAGATCGCAGGCTAAGTTCTTGTTCCAAAGGAAGACGTCATTTTTTTCAAGTCCTTCCATTATAAGGAATGGGCTGTCTGGTGCATTTTCTTTAGGAAACACATTCATAGTCCAAATCACAGGTGAAAGGGGTCAAGGTTGTTAGCAGCTTTTCCCAAGTTGGCTTGTTTATGCGGAGCATAAGGCATCAAAGTAGAGGGTGGGGGTGGTTATCATCCTCACCCTTCAACCTTTACATGACTCGACATTTTCAAACGTCAAAATAAACTGGAACCTCAGTCAGAGGGGGAAGGGTTGAGCGCTGCCTGGCCTTGCCAAATGGAAAGTTCCTAAATTTTCTCTACCTTGGCTCCCCAGAATATAAAGGAAAATATGATAAAGGTGTCTTCCTCTTAAAATTTGGAGTCTAGTCAGTCAATGTATAGTTTTTAGAGAAAGAGTTCAGGAGGCACAGTGGTTTCCTGCTACAGAAAAGGTTGGCGGTCTATACCTACCAGCGGCGGCTCAGGGGAGTTACGATGCCGCAGTCTCCTTCCATCAAGATCGACAGCCTTGGAAACCCTGGCTCTTCAGGTTGAGATGGGTCCAGACTCGACAGCTGGGGAATTTTATTTTATTATTGGTTCACGTCTAAGGAACTCTGAACCAAGTTTGATACAAGTAAGAAATCAATATCTAGTGTCTATATTGATGATGCTATAGCTAGCTTCTGCTCATGTTCTAGTTAATGATCTTTATTGTATTTACCAGCCTCTGCCATGATGTTACAGAATTATTTTATTTTCTACGAGATTCTAGTGAATAGAATGTAAGTGTCAAGAGAGTAAAGAGCTCTGTCTCTGAGACTGCTGCAGCCCGAGCATTAGAATCATGGTTATGCAAAAGGCTATCCATAAATACTTGTAGAAAGTATGAGTGAACCACAAGTGCACCTACATTTTGTAAGATGTCGATTCCTATCAATTTGAAAGTCAGTCAGGATCATTTACATGAAATGGCATTTTTGCATACCTTTCATTATCAAAGAAATATATATATATGTATATATATATATGTTTTCAGTTTTAAGTCAGGTTTATTAAGGTTTAACTTACATACAATTACATACAGTTGGCTGAGTTTTAACAAATGCAAAGTGAACTGTGCCACGAAGAACATTGGAAACCAGATGTCTGGCCGTGGTTTGTTTCTTGTCCCTTCTGGGTATATGCCCAGTCAGGGGATAGCTGGGTCATATGGTAGTTCTATTTCCATCTGTTTTAGATAGCACAAAATTGATTTCCATAATGACTGTACATACCTACAGATCCACCAACAGGGGATCCTATCTCACTAGAGCCCCTCCAACACTTGGTACTTTCTGGAAATATATTACTTACAAACATTATTCGGTCCCATGGTTGCACAATATTATATTTTAAAATATGGAAAACATTTAAAACATGAATGATTTAAGGAAAATAGAGCAAATAAAAAATTTTAAGGGGATAGATACAATCTAAGTATAGGGGTATTTCAGATTACTTCTAAGGAAAAACAGCGAAATAAAATAAAACAGAATACTATAAACTGCACTTCTAAGACACGTCGCAACGAACGTGTTCAGGGTAACCTGCTATGGGTGCTGATCTGATAGGTGCCAGCGCCTCTCCCAGGAAGCTAACAAGGTGTCAGTTTGGGTTTGTACATGTTGTGGGATTTCTTTACTTTTACAAAAGCAGAGCAGACACGAGTTGGGACAAACAAGGGAGAGTGAAATGCAAGGAGGGAGGCCCGGCGACTTTACCACACTAACTACGATGAAGTAAGGGTGAGCCCACTGACAGACATTCGCTGCCAAGAGGACCTGCGTAGACGTGTGCCCTGGAAGCAAGGGCCAACGAATGTTTCCTGACATCCACGTGGCTGATGTTCACATTTCTATATCTTGGTTTGCTATATAATGAAATATTGTCTTTATCCCAATCGAAAACTGTTTTGAAACAAAGACAGTGCTGATTCATTCTTAAAATTTTATCATCTGCGATCTGCAGCTACATTTTCAGCTGCCCAAGTGGGCACTAGTTCCTAATGGAGTTGCTTTAGTTTACAGCTGCCTCGCTTTTCAGAATTGGACGTAACTTTGACCATTAAAAATAATACATGAGATAGACAGCATCTGTGCCCCACCCCCTTTTAGTGCCAAACTTTCCCCAAATTTGGTCCTAGCCTCTGTGGGAGATGGGGGAAGCAGACATCAGGGCGGCTTTAGAAAACAAACACAATTTCCTTTCACTAGAAGTGGGTATGTCCATTTGTCGTGTCCTCTTAAAGAAGCTGAAGCCAACCCTAAGAGTTGGACTCCACTTCCAATTTCGTATTGCTACTTGCAAATCAACTGGCAAGGCTTTCTAGTCTACTTTGATAGAGCTGCCAGGGACAGCAGGCTGACCACGATCCAGGAAAGAACGGGAGGGGTTCCATTGCTCTACTTTGGAAATGCAATGGGGAGAAAGGCACCGTGGAGATGGGAGATACGGAGAAATCCAGATGAACTTGAATGGTTATAGATCAGTGGTTCTCAACCTTCCTAATGCCGTGACCCTTTAATATGGTTTCTCATGTTGTGGTGACCCCTCAACAATAAAATTATTTTCGTTGATACTTCATAATTGCAATTTTGCTACTGTTATGAAGCAGATGAACCCTGTAAAAGGGTTCTTCGAGCCCCAAAGGGGTCGCAACCCACAGGTTGAGAACTGCTGCTATAAAGTCAGGTGATGAGTCCTTTGTAGAATGGGTTCCCTCGCTAAATTCATACTTATCACATCATTTATTGAATTCCAAGATATTCGCACAGTGGAGTTCTGACTTGAGAGTCAGAGAACCCCAAGATTCCAAGGACTCCAGATGAGGCATCTCTGGCCCACCAGAAGCACCCAAAGCCCTGCCCACTTGTCATCCATCATAGGACGGATGACCAGGAAGGGGTCACAGGGTTTTCCTTCTCCAAATTAGAAAACCAAAGTCAGTGCACTTGAGCACTGACA